AATCAAGAAATGCTATTGCTAGATATGAAAGCATCAAACTATCATAATTCATTTTGGTTTATGAATTAGAATATATTTTCATTTATGTGCTTCTGAAAGTTTTTTCTCGGATAAGATGAATGTCCAAGATAATTGATCATTTTTGGTTTCCAAATGGCTTATTTTGCGCATATTTAACGATCCATTTATGTTGGTTGCCATGATGTTGGTTTTCAAAGTAAACTTAAGATGTCTCTAGAAATTTATGTTGATGATAGTTTACTCTTCTTTAACAATCAATTTGTAGGTGGATATTTGTTATGGGTTTATCACTATCATTACTTTTTTCCGCCTGGGAAGAAATTCTGAAGCACCGTAGATTTCTGAATTTCGCAGACAACAATACTTTCCATTCAGTACACAGAGATGACCGTCAGTGCAGACAGCTTGAAGAAAGCAGATTCAGAAGTTGCCTCCGAGACAAATGTGTCGGACGAAGTTCCAAGGAAGAATTCAATAGATTTGAAGAACTGCGAACCTATGAGATTAATGCTTGAATCAACGCTTTCATTCAAGAATCTAATTCAAGACGAAAGAAAACCAGAGTCCAATGACAGAAATGCAAAAGCTGATGGGGCTGTTGATGTATTAACTCCCTCCAGTTTTCTTCCTGATCTTGCTATGCTGTACTCTCCACGTCCTGTGAGCGAGCTTGATGCTGCAGCAGTCAAGCTTCAGAAAGTCTACAAGAGCTACCGGACTCGAAGACACCTTGCAGATTGTGCAGTTGTGGTTGAGGAGCTATGGTGAGTCTTATACACAGTAAACTATCTGGATATTTCCATTTGTATTTTGGCATCTTTTTCAGTTAGTTGACTAGTCTTATGTTTTAGGTGGAAGGCATTGGACTTTGCAGCTCTCAAGCGGAGCTCAGTATCATTCTTCAATGATGACAAACCAGAAACTGCTGTTTCACGCTGGGCTCGAGCAAAAACAAGAGTAGCCAAGGTCTCATTCTCAGCCATTTTACGGTGCCTGAACTTTTTTTCTCATTTTTTATTGAATAAATTATCAAACGTGCTTATGAATTTTGTTTTCACATTCAGGTTGGCAAAGGCCTATCCAAGGACGAGAAGGCTCAAAAGCTTGCCCTACAGCACTGGCTTGAGGCTGTAAGTGTTTAGCTCCTTTAGATACTTTTTCCCAATTCAACAACAAATGACAGATCTTGAAGTAATGAAGTTTGCTTGGATTTTCTTGACATGCCTGTAGATATAATCTAATTTTGGATCTAATCTATTTGGTAAATCATAATAAGTCTAATATCTAAGTAGTTGATAGAAATTTTTTCAAAGATTATTAGTATTTATGAGTACATCTGAGTAGATAATATATCATATTGCACTCACTGTTCTTCCTCATCTCTTTCAGATTGATCCACGCCATCGGTATGGACACAATTTACACATCTATTATGATGTCTGGTTTGAAAGTGAAAGCTCGCAACCTTTTTTTTACTGGTGAGTGTTTCTTTGTAGATCTTGTTTAGCTTGTGATCTCGTTTGAGAAATGCATTAAGATTGAAAATAGAAGTTTATGATAGTTTACTTCAAGGCTATTCGCTGCATCTGAAGTTTGTCCAAGTTGATGAGTATACCATGTTTTATATTTTACTGGCCTGAGTTTTCTTGTAGCTAACAGCAAATTATTAAAACATATCTTAACAGACATAGTTTCTGTGGCTGATTTCCGCTAACAAAATCGGCTTTGATATGTAGGTTGGATGTTGGAGATGGAAAAGAACTAAATCTTGAGAAGTGCTCGAGAACAAATCTACAACATCAATGCATCAAATATCTAGGACCAGTAAGTTTCAAGTCACGAAACAACATAATCATCATATAGATTCCAATTGTTGAGTACATTTTTAGCAGATTTACTGATGCATTACACAGGACTCTAATTTGGCAAAACTTTTCTTGGTTGCTACTTCTGTTTCCCCTCATTAGAAAGAGAGAGAATCATTTGAAGTTATCGTGGAAAATGGCATGCTAGTTTACAGAGAAAGTGGCATGTTTGTCGACACTGTTGAGGGTTCCAAATGGATATTTGTACTTAGCACATCAAGGAATTTGTATGTTGGGCAGAAGAAGAAAGGGACTTTCCAGCACTCAAGTTTTTTATCAGGTGGAGCTATTACAGCAGCCGGAAGACTTGTTGCTCATGGTGGAGCCCTTGAGGTAATTATACAGATCTACTGACTGCTGTGAACATCTTTGAAAGCTGACGGTAAATGATAATCATTTTCTTATATTACAGGCAATTTGGCCATATAGTGGTCATTATCACCCAACCGAAGAGAACTTCAGGGTGTTCATTAGCTTCTTGGAGGAAACCGTGTAGATCTTTCAAATGTTAAGGTATGCGTAGTGCAGTTTCTATGTTTTCTGGAAATATTATGCATTCTCTACTTTATATCATAGTGCGTATCGTGTGCATCCACTATAAACCTGGAAATACTAATAAAAACGCTAAGAAGTGAATTGGCTCCATTCTTTTTTTTTACATGTTTGAGCAAAATCTTCAGATAAAACTGATGGCTGATGATACTTTTTTGTCTTCTTTACTGGGCAGAGATGTGCAGTAGATGATGATCTTCTTTCGTTTAGGTTCCTGATGAGGAAGCAAACGCTGAATGCAATAGGAGCGCTTCAGCAACTACAGAGCCAGAAGATGGAAGCACAACTGACGTACTGGTCTGTCTGGGAAAGATGCAACAGCAGCCAGTCGCCAAAATGCCAAGAACACAGCTCATCTGACTGTAAAGCCTCCCCTATATACCATGGCTAAACACTTGTCATGCAATGGAGTACTGGAACTGGACCGCGAATTAGCTGTGTTAGGGACTATCCAACAGAATTACAGAGCCGAGCACTTGAACAAGTTAATTTGTCGCCTCGTTTGGCTAGTGGAGCATTGTTCAACTATGGTCCAATCCCATCCCCAAGACCGAGCCCAAAGGTTCGCCTTTCTCCTAGACTTGCATACATGGGACTTCCAAGTCCTAGAACCGCCATTCCAGCTGCTCACTGAGATTAAATGGGAGCGCAAGCTTTTCCCTAGATACGAATAAGCGAGCCTAAGCGGATGTACAGGATATGGGCTGAATGCCAATAATGCTCCTGATATGATCTTCGACCCCTTGTGATAAGAACGAGGAAACTAACTTGAACCTTCGTTCTTTTGTTCTTTTAATCTAGTTTTGGTAGGAAACTTAGTTGAGCCAAGTATTGTTTTACCCAGTTTTGGCTCCTTCAGTTTGAACGTAGGTTTGATTGATTCTTTCAATCTTTGTGTACGCCTGATCAGTTTATATTGTTCAATTCATTCTAATTTATTCATTTACACGCTGATTCAAAAAATTGTAGCAGCACGCTATGTAATTTGTTTCCTTTGTTTAGTTGTAAAGTATATCATTGTAACAGCAAAATGAGATTATCTATGTTCACAATGCTGTGATCTTGATCCAAAAGCAAAACTGTAAATTGTTAACTGCGGTGAAAAAGATCTTGAACTCACTAAGGTACAAACCAGAAATAGTTAATTAACCAGTCTTGAACATTTTTTGTTTGAACCGAATTTGTACAAATAAAATCAGAGTAAACCGAATTTGCTTGAACTTTTTTTTTTTTTTTTTAATCGACTATAAGATAAAGATAGAATCAAAAGAAAAGTATGATGCCTCAACTTTAATTTCCAATTGCTTTTGCTTATAGACCATAGACCAACAAAATTTTGTTTCACTTTACTCCCACAGCCAAGATAAAAAGCAGTGCAAGTGAAATGGATACGAGTTCACGAGTTGCCACCAAATGGTCAAACCGGAAGGAAGAGTTAGGAATTAGGATTGCATTCGAATCAATCAAGCTACTCGCGCTAGCTCGAAGTCAAGGATGACTTAGTGATACTATGCTCCAATGAGTATTTTCATATATTTATGCGTCGCTTATGAGTAATTATGAGTGATTAAGCTTGAAGACCAAGCTCAAGCATTATATTTGTGCTCTACTTATGAGTAATTACATTCATGTGAGTAATTAAATTTAGTCGAGTTCGAGCATAGCTAAAGTATTCTAGTTTGTGTTCAAATCAAACAATATTCTCAACTCAACTCATAGACACCAAGGTAACAAATTCTGATCACGTGACATATGGCCTTCATTCAGATAGATGAAAACTCATGTGACCTTAGACCCTACAAAAACAGTAGCAGAACACCATACTCGGAGTATCGAAATTGGGGCAAGAGCGGTTGCAAGTAGAAGCTGTCCGGATGATTTGGATAATATATATATACAAACGAGTCGAGTCGAATCATGTCTTAACTTAGTTTTATGAAATTCGAATTCGAGTTCAATCTCGACAAACTCTCAATGTAAAACTCGAACTCGATCTTAAAAAAAAAATAATTATTTTATTTTTAAAAATAAATAAAATAATAATTTTTTAATAAAATAATTAAATATTAGGGATATATATATATATATATATATATATATATATATATATATATATATATATATATATATGTTATTTTAGGTATTTGGGATATATATATATATATATTAGGGAATATTTAGGGATATTATATATATGTAATTTTACTATTAAAATAAAAAATAAAAAAAATATATAATCGAGTCAGCTCACGAACTAACGAGTTGAATATTTTTGAATTTAAATTCGACTTGATCAGCTCGAATTCGATGTTGATCGAACTCGAGTCGAGTTCGAACTCGAACTATTTGTAAGCGATTTAATTCGTTTTTGAAAGTGAATTACATGCGAGATAAAGTGACTTTATATCCTGTGGAAATGAAACAAAACCGGCCCTAACGGTTTTTGTGACAATCATTTGGCCTCGGGTCCTTACAGGAACTTCTCCCACGCTCATTTCTCGTCATTGAGCGCGTGAATGCACACTGCCACGAGCATTCAATTTCACACAAGGACACACACTGAACGGCGTTGAGTTCGTTAGATCAACTCCAACGCCTATATATTTAGAGAGATAAAAAATAATATGGTAATAGTACTTAGTATATATCCATATTTCCATGGCATGACAGCTTCTGTATTCAGATTAAGCAGAAAAGAAGTACTCCTACTATGAAGACGGCTCTTTTGCTTGCTCCTCCTCCTCCTACTTTTTCGTTTTCAACCTAACCCTGGTAGTAATTGTAGTTGTACAAAAGAAAAAAGTGAATTAATTAACAGCTTTCTTACAGTCAATTCAATCCCTAGATCTCTAGGGTTCGATAATCGGTGACCTTTTTTAGATGGAGCCGCGTGTCGGAAATAAGTATCGCCTTGGTCGGAAAATTGGCAGCGGATCGTTCGGCGAGATCTATCTAGGTTTGTTCCTCAAAATTTCCTTTTTAAATTTTGTTTTTTGTAATTTCACTTGAATTCACGATTCCCTCCCTCTGGATACTTTTGGTGCAGGGACTAATATACAGACCAATGAAGAAGTTGCAATTAAGCTTGTGAGTGTGTTTTCTATGATTGTAGACTTGGTCTTTTTCCCTTGTTATTTGACTGTTCTTTGAGGTCATCAGATTAGTTTTATCTTTTGAAGTATAGGTCATCTGGGGCAATTTGTGAAAAATTTAATGTGTGACATTGGGATTTTTTTACTTGCCTAATATGTGTGTATATGCTAGTTAAGCGTGGGAAATTTATTAACGTAGTTGCACTAACACAATAAGATACCGTTCCGAGCATTTGAAGTGCAAATGGAGCTGTCGAATAAGGTTTAGCAAAGTAGGATATGTTTGTCTACCGTCAAATGGTTTCTGAAAAGATTCAATTCTGAGGATTTTATTTTCAAGGATACTGGATGTGGGGTTATTTTTGCTAGTAAGTACCTGCCGTCGTCCTTGGATTTACAATTCGGATAATACCATTGCAAAAATTGCTAAGTAGCAAGAACTTGAGGAGGATGTCTCCAGAATGAAGTTTTCTTATTGGTCGAAGTTGTTAAGATTCTTACTTTCTTCTGTTGTTCTTTGAATAGCTGTTTGAAGGTATTTCTTTTCCATGGTCAAGGTATTACTGAGAGAGTGGGAGTTGAAGAGGTCCTTTAGCCAGGCTGGAGGTGGTTACTGTGTCATATAATTATGTACTTGATGTTTGATTTGCATATGTAAGGGTTTTTCAGTAGTGAAAATTCTTTTCTTGTGGGAATCATGATAATATTACACGATTCTTTAGAGAAAGCCCTGAGTCCTTGCATAAGACTTTAGATTAAGTGGCGATTGTTCTTGGGTGCAACTAGTTGAATACAGTGTTGTAATTCTGACTTTAAACTCCCAGTGACAGCATCTTATTTTCATACTACTACTAGTTGTTCAAGCAACAGAAGCTTGTGTATCATGACTTGTTTGCAGACCTTTGTATTCACTAATGAATATGACATACTAAACTATTCTAGTAAAATTATCAAGTAGGAAAGCAAACTTTGGAAGTGAAATTTATCACAACGGTAATTAGTTTTTTTTTCTTGTTCTGTAATGAATTGTAATATTTTGCTTGATGTTGAGAATTAGTTAAACTAGTAACAGTTTCACGATGCTTAGCTACTCAGAGTAATGCCGCTACATTATGTATTTTGGTGTTTAAACATTTGTATCTTCTTTTGATGGTTGAAGAGGAGAGGAGGAGTTTCTGACTATCGCGATGCCTATAAAAACTCACTGGAATTTTTTTGTTGGAATTGTATTTCATTTTGCTAAATCTAAGGAGAATATGTGGATGATAATAATTGGCTACATTATCATGTGCTGTAGCATGTCATTCCTGTCTTCTATAATATCGTAGTATTTTGCAGATATCTCTAGTACATATTCAAGAAGTTTGTTAACTGAGCATGATTGTATTATATACTTGATATTTAAATGGTGGAGACAAACGGATAGACTTGCTTGGTGAGACAGGGATAATTTGTTTTTCTGATAAGAAGCAATAGTAGCTGGTCTCTTTGACATGCATATTGTTGATTTTGTTGCTCTGCAAATTGCTGAAAGTTTATTTATTTTGTTCTATGAGTTTAGTTGCTTTATTCTCACTGAGACGGCATGTTCAATCCTTATTTCTAATTAATTGGTTGGGAAGTTTGAGTAGTTGAAACTTTTGACATGCCCTGTCCTCAGGAAAATGTGAAGACAAAGCATCCTCAGTTACTTTATGAGTCAAAGTTGTACAGAATTCTGCAGGGAGGAAGTAATGAATTGCAACCCCTTTTTCTCATTGTTTCTGATAAGATTTGCTTTCCATTGTCTGTTATGTTTGATTTATGATGGCTTCACGTGCAGCTGGAATTCCAAATGTGAGATGGTTTGGAGTTGAGGGTGACTACAATGTTCTCGTCATGGATTTGCTTGGCCCAAGCCTTGAGGACTTATTCAATTTTTGCAGTCGGAAACTTTCTCTAAAGACTGTCCTTATGCTGGCAGACCAAATGGTTTTTTCATTGACTTGGTGGCTACTTTTGTACAGTTTCAAATATTCAATGTGATTGATTTCCCTCTTGATTTTGATTTCAGATCAATCGTGTTGAATTTGTTCATTCAAAGTCATTTTTACACCGAGATATCAAGCCAGACAATTTTCTTATGGGCTTAGGACGCCGTGCTAACCAGGTTGCAATCCTATCTCTGTCATATTTGAACTGAATTTTTTCAAGAAAATTTACTGGAGGAGTTTGGGGTGCAATGCAGGTTTACGTCATAGATTTTGGTCTGGCTAAGAAATATAGAGACACTTCAACCCACCAGCACATACCGTACAGGTGAGCTTTATAATGGTTTTACATGAAGTGGCTGACATATTTACACCATCATTTTGTTTTCACTCATACCAATGCGAACATCTTAACTTTCCCTGCAAAACTTCAGCAATACTTGACATGTTACTTCTTGTGTCAATATATTATGGGATTATGTGGGTTTATGTGCAGTATGACCGCTTACAATGTCACATGACGTGTATCAATTCCCCTTCTTAGAGTTGTTAGATGGGGGAGCAACTTGTCTTCAGAATTGAAATAACTTATCCAATTTCTTGTATAAGCATCTTATTTGTTGTTGAGCGTTTCCGTAGCTGTGGAGAAGGGATTTGTATCATTTTTCTTTATACTTTTTTTCCTCTAATGCTTTCTCCTGTATATATCTCCCCAACTTTTGATTGAGGAGCAGTAGACTTTCTGATCTGAAAAGTATTACAGTCTTGGCAATGTCCATCTGATTCCTTAAGATGTCTTGGGATTTCCTTATCAAGTATTATTATTTTTTTATAATGTATTCTTAAGCAAAATGATGGTAGAAGATAATGTCTCCCCTTGCATTTGTGCTTTTCTGAATAAGTAGTGAACTAGAAGTAAATCAAATTGTAACTTCTGTATTGCATAAAGTCTTATCTATTGGCTTTTTTGTGCTTGGGAGATTCAGTTTGTATTTCATTTTCTACTGAGATAGCCTTGGTCTCATTTACCTTATCTTTTCCTAGTTGGTACAGTCTTCGGTGGATTTTTACACTCGTTTATGCATTGACATCTTATTGCAGATATCTAATTATCTATTTTGTCTTAATAAAGAAACTAGCTATGGTTGTATTCTATGTTTGAGTGTTTTAACCATCTCTGCTGCTCCTACTCTGTGTTAACTGCATCTCTCTCATGCATAGATGACACAAGACATTTATTGTGTTGTGGATTATGCAGCTTTTTACTTTTCTTTGTTTGTTGTAACATTCTATCTGTGATACAAAACTGCAGAGAGAACAAGAATTTGACCGGAACTGCTAGGTACGCTAGCATGAATACTCACCTTGGAATTGGTTAGTATTCTTTTCATCTGTGCTTTGTGGTTTATGTTGCTTTGTGGTTTATGTTGACTCGTACAATTATGCTGTGTAATATTCTAATGCTTATGTCATTTCATCCTTCTGTGTTTTTGGATGTTGTAGAACAAAGCAGGAGGGATGATTTGGAATCTCTTGGATATGTTCTTATGTATTTCCTCAGAGGAAGGTGAAATTGGCAGCATATCGCTCCATTTATTTTCTTTTAAACCATATTAAGCCATGTTGACATCGATTGCATTCTCAGTCTTCCATGGCAGGGACTGAAAGCAGGTACCAAGAAACAGAAGTACGAGAAAATCAGTGAAAGAAAGGTTTCTACATCATTGAGGTAGTTCTTTCCTCTTTCTTGGTAAGACTGTTGTTGGATTGGGCTTGGCTTTCAAGAGAAATTTCAGTGGTTATGTGCTATTCTTTCAGGCCTTATGCAGGGGTTACCCAACTGAGTTTGCTTCCTATTTCCATTATTGTCGGTCACTTCGTTTTGAGGATAAACCTGATTATGCTTATCTGAAGCGAATATTCCGTGATCTTTTCATTCGTGAAGGTTCGCATCAATAAGCTTTAGAGTTTCCTCGGATTGCTGACAGTAGCATGAGCTATTTGATGAACTTTATCTCTACTCAATTGGATGTATCATATTTCATTCTATTTTGCATGGCAATGTAGGCTTCCAGTTCGATTATGTTTTTGATTGGACAATTTTTAAAATATCAACAGTCTCAGATTGCTGCACCACCTTCTCGGGCAGTTGTAAGTCTTATATATTATTGGATTTTCATCCATTATCAATGATTCTACTTTTCATGATGGTTTATCTGGCTTAGGGTCCTAGTGCGGGAACAAGCTCAGGAATGCCACCTGCTATACCCAACATTGAAAGGCAACAAGGTAGTTTTTCCTTGCACCTTGTATGTAAATGTCTTTCTCTCTGTAATGCAGTTATGATGCATTTATATTCTTTTGGAACAAGTTGTGTATGATTTGCCTTAGCCCTTTTTTATATCTATCCCTCCTCTTAGTAATTCTAGAAACTTTAGTCTATGCTGGTAGATGCCATGATGTTCATTCTTCTAAGTGCCTCTAAGGAGAAATATTTTTTCTGATATTGGCTCCAATGTCTTTCCCAATTGTTGTCTTTGTTACAGGTGAAGAAGATGGAAGACAAGCTGGATTTTCTTCAGCAGATCCTTCACGACGAAGAAGTTCTGGTCCACTCTTAAATGTCGGGAGTTTATCTAAGCAGAAGAGCCCAATTGCAAATGATTCAACAAGCAAAGAAGTCGGGGTGAGTTGTTTGAATGATATTTAGATTTGCGGAGAAGGCATATTTGCTATGATGCCTGTGCTGGTCTTTTGCTCGTTTTGTCATCCTTGTCTTACATACCTTTGTTGGTTTACTGTGCTTTTTGGATTTCATTGTTATTTGCCTGCCATTGCTTTATGCTTCTGTTTCGGCCTTTGGTGTTCTCATCCACTGTTCACTTTCTAGTTTATATGCTCACTGTATTTTTTTCTTGGCCATTATGTGTTGTCTTCCTCTCTCCTTTATGTGCATTATTGAAGTTTGACTGCCAGCTAGAATTCATTTGATGTTGAGCTCTTTAAATTTTGTGGATATTCCTGACAGAAAGCATGGGAGAAGAGTCTCTGGGGAAAAAATTATAATAAAAGAAGAAGACACAGAAGGGGGGGGGAGAGAGAGATCAAAGTGTATGAATTAGAAAAAATATTTGTTCTTTTGGCTATCAAAATATTCCATTTTCATTTGTATCAGCTTTATTGGTTTTTTTGGCTATCAAATTGTGTGTTTTAGCATGAATTGGCTACCAGCCTGCTTTGGCAGTAGAAGTCATGCATGTACGTGTAAGTTAACCTCTTCGGTTTTGCAGTTATCAAGCTCTGCCTATTTGGGAAGATCAAGTGGATCATTGAGAAGAGGTGCTATAGCCGGTAGCCGTGAAACATTCACTGCAGGAAATGATTCTGATCCTACTCGATCTCGTACACCTGAGGCTAGTCCAGGGACGGCACAGAAAATCTCTAGCGGACAAAGGACCTTGCCCCTTGGTGGATCCTCAGACCCCAGGCACACTTCATCTGGCAAAAACAATTCTGGTGTAAAAAACTTTGAGTCCACTCTCAAGGGCATTGAGAGCCTGCGCTTTGATGATTAATAGATGGTTCATTGCTGGATGCTTCAGTTTTTACATTTTGTACATCGTCAACATCATCCACTGGACATCCCATTAAATTCATTAAAGCTCTTGGAGTTGCATTTCTGGGAAGTTGTGATATGGAGAGTAAATAGGCTCGGTATGGATGCTCCCAAAGACCTTAGCGATAAAGAGGACCAGATTGTGCAACAAAATTCAGACAGGTGAAGCTCTGCCCACTTGCGTGGATATACTATTGGATCTCAACCACTGCTCTTTTTTCTTTTTTCCTGAGTGCTGAGAGTTACTGGTTTAAATCATCAGGGAACTGTAAATTTGCAACTTAATTGTGTCTGCCGGACCTGCTCTTATTTTTGTTCGTTTCACAGTTCCTGGTCATGCATAAACCAGTGCACATTTATGTAATGTTTCCCTATTTTTGTAATGGCTTGTTGACTGAATTTTTTACCTATCAAAATGGTGAAAACTAGAAGCCAAGAAAGGAGGATGGTGTTGCGGTCCCATTAATCTCCTGAGACCGTGACGATGTAATATATTGACCAAATAGCCATATCCTTTCACCAGACACTCGTCTGTTTGGTCACCCTCGGATATTTCACCTCGAGAGAGAACATTATTGAAACTAAACAGCAAGCTTTAAAAACACTCTTACCGTCCGTGTCTTTCTGATCCAGGCCCATCGGCTAAACTTTTCACTGCAAACAGTGGTAGGATATTTGGCAGAACTGAGATCAGCTCTTCCACAGATGGCTCCTTAAAAGGCATGGGATGGAGCGCTGGTAACCAAGTGGGTGATTTTTCATGAAACCACTAGTCTATTATTCAGCATTTTCCTCTTTTTTCTTTTTTGCATTGATCTGCCACAAATGCCCGGGTGCTCACGCCTCTATTCGCTTTTTTGAAGTTGTTGGTCAGGATGTTATTGACGTTCATCACCATAAATATGGTGAAACCAACTAGTGACGTGTGGCATCCTTTATTTCATCTTTTGTGGTCGAACAAGGTCTCAGAGCTTGAAAGATTATTCGTGTTAACCAGGTTGATGCTTCTGCTTGCATGCATAAAAATTTCCACTTGGACCATTGATTTATGTAGATGGATGCAAGCCAAATGATTCACATGATCAGGTTTGAGGAAAAAGTCCTTGCTTGCAAATCAAGGATCAAGAACATCTACAGTTGTTGAAGATAATTATACCTAGCAAAACAAATCTAACTAATGCATGCACTAAAACAATAAATGTCAAATAATAACTTTTAGTACAAATCTCCTAAGAAAATATAAGTAGCTATCCTCCTACACTCGTTTATGGTGATGCATTCATTCTGTTAGTGCATAGTATGTTATCCTAATACCTACATCATAAAGTACAGTTATGGCTGAATATTTTAGACTTCACCCCATCATCAAACCCGAAGATGGAAAAGAAAGAATCATGATTCTGTTCAGATTACTCTTGACCATACAAATCTTTCTATCCACAGGGCCTTCAAGGTGAGCGTGCATCAGTGCATGTGAATGTGTTGGACAGGAAATTTGGTGAGATCACCTTTTCAAGAGGGGACTCGCAATCATCTTTCCAATTCAAAAGAGGGATTCATAATTTCATCTCCTTTTTGCGGAGCGGAGAGTGAACAGCAAATTAATCTTCATCAGAATAAAGACGACACATGAACAATACTGCAGTGACAATACTGACAATAAAAAAAATGGTAACTGTCAATGAAAAGGAGCATCTTAATCCCAAAATGGCTAAGGCAGATGTGCATTTAACGTCAGACTTGTACCTCCTTCAAATCTGGGCTCAAGGCACTTAATGAAAGCAAGCTTGCAGGAACTATTTTCCTTTTTTGAGAGGAAGGAGGAGGTGGCTGGGGGGCGGAAATGTTGTTACAACACAATATGAACTCCTACCCAGGAGACTGATTGCCATTAAGAATGTGTGAAACACGATTTAAATTGTTAATAATTGGCTTCGTCAGTGATCGTGGGCCAACTCGATTATCATATTAGTTGGTTAGTACTTAAATCCTTCAGTGGACTGACTTGATTGCTATGTAACTCAGAACTGAAGAGTCCAAGACGAGAATAATAGACCAGAAACATTCAAGTGCGAGTCAAAGGAGATTCTATGCAATAAACTAATCGAAGCAATCTAGATTCCATTACCTTAATCTTACTTTTTAATTACCATCACCGGTTGATCTGGAAGACCAAACAACTCAGACTGTCTTTCTTCTTCTGTTCTTACATAACTCCACTCTATAAATGCATCCAAATCTTATTGACTAATACCAGAAATATGTATAGCCTAAAATATAAGATGATTTAGCCAAATGAGAAGACCCAAATTTATCTTAAACAGCCAAGAAAGGTTAAATCCATTGCTTGAGAGGGAACTGGAATCTTTCAGCTAATTATTCACATATCCCATGTTTCAGTTCCAAATAAACCCAATTTCTAGGATACTGCAACTTTATCATGCAATTGGTGATGACTAAAAAAGAACCAGAAGCATTACCTTCAAGTTTTTAATCATGGTTGTCAATGGTGCCTGTTTCAACATTTCTGCAGAAAATGATACGAAAGAGAGACTACTCGAATACTGTACTTCTGCCGTAAAAAGTTAAAACTTGAGGGCGACCACCAACTATCATAACAGGAATAAGGGATTAAAGGCTGAGATCCGCTACCAAACTTCTTTGCAGTAATAGTGGAATTTACATAATTTACTAAATCATAATGCCGTTTACGTGATTTTTTTCTCTCTAATTGAAGAAAAATATTCTGAAGAAAAGAACTATTCCATGAAGAAATTCAAAGGACCTACTTTTCCAGAATCTCAACGAAAAAAAAGAAAAACTAATAGCTTCAGAGCAAATGACAAAATAAGGGCCAAAAAATCGCTGTTGAAGCAATGTGACATTCATAGAGCAAACATCAAAACTAACTCATCAATCAAGTCAATTTTCCACCCAAAACCAAGATGAGCAGCAATTAATCATACCATAGTCCGAAACCATCTCTCGCTCGAACATGGATATTCCTAAACCAAACCAATATATAAAGGGCCAACTCAAGCTTCAGCTTTCATGACAAATAAGCACTTACATAACCAGCTTCGGTGCAGTAGAAATCAAAATGTTTTGCAATATGTGTACCACACATGTACTAAGTTGTTAACTGAAATTCAATATCATTCCAATATGTTTTTGCACCAATCCTAACAACCAAATAAAGGAAAAAAAAGAAGAAGAAGAAGAAGATACAGGCTAGATTATAGTAAACAGATAATCACAATAGCATGAAGATCACCTCCAACCATAGACCACCTGAGCGCACCTCTCTTTAAGCCACCTAAAGCTCTTCTTCAAAGACCCTTTAACTTTACCTTCAACAGTATAGACCTTATAGCTAGCAACCCTCTTTTTCCTCTGCAATTCGGATCATTAAAGCTCCAACTTTTTGAAATGGACCCGTTGGCGGACTTGCCTTTCTTGAGCTTTACATCCTTAGAAATTTCCGTGTGGCCATTGTTTGCTGCTGTTGCATAGGAAGCACTATAGCATCTGAGATCTTGCAGCCCAGTTGGGTTCGAGGAGGGGTTGCTATTGCTGCTGTAGCTGTAGCTCTCCAATTGAGAATTCCTTCCGTCATGGTAGGACTTGGATCTGAATTCTTCCATTGTGGGAGGAAATCAAGAGCAAAAATCTTTTTGTTTTAGGCCTTTCGTAATAGCACTAGGAGAATATGGTTGCGAGGAGGATTCCTAAGCTTTATAGTCGATGCTAGTAATAATAATACGTGAGTGTGCTCTGGTTTGGTTTTCGGGGCCGTCGGTGGTAGTGGTGATGGATGCTGGTGGTACTTACTAGGTGTGTGCAGTGGAGAAAGAAACTCAATGGATGACGCCAAAATACATTTTGTCACCCAGCAATAACTGCTTGCCACTCAGCTATACCCAATAAGCATGCAAACAGACTTCCTGATTTTGTTATAATTCCTCTGGACTGCAGATGCAGATCCCTTGAATTACAAACAGACAGCTAAGCTAGAAGGAATTGTTCTAGTCTTTTGGTTGTTTTGCTCTTTAACCACATTTCCTCTTTATTATATAATGCAGAGAAAATATGATTTACCGGACCCAAGGAGGAAGCCTGTTTGCCACATAAGATAAGACAGTCCATAGAAGCACAGGCTAAAAAAGAATAAAACCTTTTTTTGAGGTACTCTTTTTCTTGGTATCCAACATTTACTCCACATACAGCTCCAAGGCAACATTTACTCCCACTTAGAGTTGGCCGTTCATTATGAGTTCAAGCGGCGCTAGTTACCAAACATGCGTGGAATACATTTAGGGGGAATACAGAAACACATGGCCTGCGAAAAGTCAAAGCACGTAATACCACGGATTCTTACAATAAAGAACGCGCCATAGATAGGACCATTCTCTTAAAAAAAATTTTTTTTTTTTGGCCTGGTACGCACCATGAATAGCCAGTATTCTATTCATTATGATCGAACCAGGCAACTTGCAGTAAAAGTGTCCGGTGGGTGACCCAACTTTTCGGAGAAAAGACCACCACTTGGCGGCGTAGACTCCCCGAGCAGAAGAAGATATCCTAAGGAGTAATAAATTCTGAGGCCAAATTCACAGGTGCCCCAAATTTTTATTGTACCAAAATAAATGGAATAAAGAAACGGGTAACTTATACAAGAGCTTGACGGCACAACATATTACCATGGACCTGAAAAATTGGATAATTTACAAACAGTCAATGTATACATCATTGCCGGCTTGCTGCTACTGATACACATTACACACGCATTACATTTCGTACCAAAATTGTTAGCCCAAACTCAATTCAGAAGGGTCCGAATATGCTATGGCTATATGCACGGAACAACACATCACGCGAGGCGACATTGCATTGCAGACGCAGATGGTCCAAGTACAGTCGCGGGTATGCACCTACACTAGTAAAAGCCCAGGACAGCTGGAATCCAGATAGTCCCCGCTCCATCGGCGAACAATTTTCCGGCTATGTTGAATTACCTTTTCTGTTCATCAAGTCATGGTAATAAAGCAGCACACACATGGGTTGACCAAGAATGCAAAAAAAGCACCAAAATATCATATTCCCCACCTGGATAAAACAGGATATGATCAGCCACAGGCATCTTAATGAGAAGTGTCAAGAACAACTACAGGTAAAATTTCTTTTGTTTGTACATTTTATTTGTATCTGCAGGAGTCCAAGGATTATAGCATAAAATAGCACGAACAGGTTGTGCATATGAAAAGTTGAAGATTCTTAGCCACAATACTAAAAATAGCTCTTAATGGCTGGTACGAAGCTACGATGCTTGTAATAACTCAAAGAAGACTCGTACTTGCACTTACTTCCAGAGAAGATGAACAAAAGACAACGAAGACTCATACTTGCACTTACTTCCAGAGAAGACGAACAAAAGACAATCACACACACAATCATCAACTGCTCTATACAAGACACAAGTTACAGATAATCATAGGCTACAAGAATCCAATATTAAAAAGACCTACCATCGAATTCTTGAACTTGGCTTGCAAAAAGTTTGTCAATACAACCAGAGGAACCTGTCCAAAAGAGGGGAGAGAAAAAACTTACTCCTGCTGGAAACAAAGAGAAAACAGATGCCATATATAATCTGGGTCATCTCTGCTTCTTGGAAACTAAATTAGCAGAATACATATGAATGAAAGTTTCAATACAGAAAGATGTCTAATAGATACAGCGTACATACTACCACCTGTACTGTGAAATACACTATTAATTACATCATGTCAAGTCTTTCTGCAGATGCACAGATAGGTTCTCTTACCTGAAACATGATACCAATGAATGCCCAAAACTTGAATATGTGGCATGGAACAGCAATACACAGCTGCCAATGAGCACAAAGCGCAGTCATCATAAGTTCCATGCATTATTTGCTTACATGTTATTAAAAAAAGGAAAAAAAATGAAAAATGTTCGATATCTATGGATCTGGCAAGATATAGGAAGTAAATGTGCACCAACCTCGTGGAAGATAGCAGAAACAAGGAACACAATGAGTATTGCAACTCCCTGCAACAAAAAGATGAATATTAAATCTAAGTAACAATAATTTCATTTTTACAGCGGACCTTTAATGTGGAACAGGAAAGAAGGATGTCCATTCATACTACTTTAATAAATGGAGAGCAAGCAGATGTGTGGTGTAACATTTTTATCTTCTCCAATACTACCCCTGCATGAATAACTGCCCTTGTTTTTCTTTTTCTTTTCTTTTTTCATTTTTGGGCTCTAGGTGAACTACCTATTACTTTACCAATTTTATTTTTCTCTTTGATTGTTTAACTACTAGTCTTTCTAAACTATCCATAATAAACTTTGTAAAAGAGTTGGAAGGTTCTTTGAAGCTTGAAATAGTTCATTGGAACCATTGAACTACTCAGCAAGCATCAACTTTCCAAGAAGACAAGAGGACAAACAAACTCAATACATTAGGCAGCTTGAAATTGGAGACTTTACCTTAGGTAACCCATTGCGCAAGGAAAATAAATGTGGCGAACCATCCATTTATGGACAGGCTGCAATCAATAAAGGTTTTAAGCAATAATTATTACAACAAAAATATATTAAAATACTGGTAAAACTGCATCTGCCAACAACAGAAATGACAAGAATCTAATGTATGAAGAAGAACATTTACAACATCTATCTCCTTTATGAAAGAGTATGAATTACTGAACAGCCCGAGTAACTGCAAACCCCACCAGCAAAGCCGGCACTTAGCTTAAAACACACTCAAACGGCATTTTGTGCAGCCAAAAAAACATAAGCATGCGCCACAAGAAATGCAGATACTCTATACAGAAAGCGTAAAAACATACCTCCTAATTCAACAAAACAAAATGCAAGACAAAAATGAGGACTTTCTTATAAGCTAAACTTTGTGATGCATTATACATGTCATTACATGAAGATACAAACAGAGTCTTCAATCCACCAGGACTGCTATAGATGTGCACACAGAAGGAAAAGGCAAATAAAGAAAAAAATAACATCCTCAGAAAGGCAAATCTGAAACTAATTCTAGAAGATTACATACCATGTTCCACATTCTCCAATACTAGCAACAGCCACAGCAGGACAACCATTTCAATTGATGGTGGGAGAACAAAACAAAATCTCTAATTAGTTCTAAGATAATTGGAATGAGAAATGTAAAAGAGGAAAGTAACAGCATAAAGATCATATTTAAGTCTTCTAAAAGTTTACCTCATCTATTGTTTTTGCGTTCCACCAATCCTTGTAAAATTCACGATCCCGAAACACAGTATCTCAGCAAGTATATTTAACCTATATGATGTCACAGAATTATAATCAGAGTCAAGTGCTAGGATAACGATGATTGGCAAACAAACATGGACTCCATCTCCAGAGGAAGAGAGACAATCAAATCATTCCATATCATCTTCTAACCAGTTCTCTGTTTTGGAATCACATTCATTCTAATCTTCTGTTTCCACCAAAATAGAGTTCAAGGTATGAGCCTTTTTCCGTTTTTGTTTCATGAAAGAAGGATTATGCAAATTCATTCATACTGTCGTTCCTTTCCCAATTTTGCTAATACATACCAACCAGTTTCCACAGCTAAGCCTCAAAGAAAATGGTGAATGACTCAACATCAAGCTAACACAATCACTTCCATGTGGTAGGATATTTAGTCATTTTCTTATGACAAAGAACATTGATCTTAAATCCAGTAGACTGTCAACCTCCAAAGATTGTGTATCTAATCTCATAATTTTTAACTGATAAAGCACCACGTATCTTCTCTATATCTTTCTTCAACTACGTGACTTCATACTGACATCAGGACTACATATGACCAAGGACACCCACCCATGACCCAACCCCTAACCCTCAAATCCCACCCAAAAAAAATACAGTGTCAAGCATATAAATCAGGTTCTTACCCGTATAAGAATCCTCCTCATACGGCACTGGACTGGACAAAAAGATTGAAATGGGAAAAAGTTCTCTACTAATTTATTAAAGAGAAGATGGCTTACCATAGATGGAAAACGCAGTAAAACATGCAGAGCCAAACGTATAAATTTGGAACTGAAAGCTTCAAGACCCTTTCAATCGCATATAGAAGATTTCCTTTCAGAGGATGTTGGGAGTTTTGCACGATTGGATTGATGTACTGCATGATAATATGACTTTGTCAGCTGAGTTTTACACAAGAAGAACCCAAAAAAAGAAAAAAGGTAAGAACCAAATTTCCCACAAAGAAGACAGAAAATTACCTGCTCTATGATAAATCCCATAAAACCTGTAAAAATTACCAACTTGATGAGTTGAGTCACCACCCAACCTTTCCGAATGTAAGCTGTGCGTGGATAGCTTAGCTGCAAACGACAGTTTCTCAGTATAGACTTATCAAAAAATTTCACCACTAAAACCAACAATGCTAGAGTAATTAGGAACTTAATGACTTTATACTGAATAGGAAAAAAATGTTCTCTATAAATGAAAATGCACACAGGAGAGTTTTCAATTTCCCAATAACATTGTGTAAACCATTGAATACAACCAATATAAATCTTTTGATGAAGCTCACACCTAGCAAAGAAATTTTTCTCTGAAAGTATTTTTTATCAACACATAGCATGGAACATCAACTACCTTAACCAGCTTTTTTCAAAATTAAATAAGTCAAGAACCAAACTAATGGATTTGCTTTCCTTTTTCTCCTCTTTTAATTCTTTAACAATGAACTAAATGCCATATCAGATCCTAGTATGAACAATAGCTAAACCAAAATACTTAGGCCAAAAGTAATTTGCACACATTCAACCTAGCAGCAGCTTACAAGATAGAATATAATCTCAATCTCTCCTAAGCCGCATGTTTAACCTTCAAAGAAGAAACCCAAAATTAGGTAATAGTGGCTAACAAACCCATTGTTACTTGATTGCCTCTACGGTTGAGAAGGATTACTTACGGAAAATTTATAAAGGTTGAGAATAAAATGAAAGCATCTCTGAAAACACACAAAAAGTGACCACAACATTCTCCATTGCCTCTGTGGATCAGAAGTTTGCAGTTTGTACTAAATAATTGGCAAACTTGAGATGGTGAGCAGTACATCCATTGGAAGTTTAGGCTCCATTTCCATTATTGATTGAAGCATAATCTGCATTAGTATCCTAGAACCAAAATAGACCAACAAAGCCTCCCACTGTTTTGTAGGTGATCACTTGTATATGCATAACATATATTGGAAGATAGACTTCGCTGAGTTGTAGGTAGAATTTAAAAAAAATTAACTATAATGACACAAGATGACACCTTTCCAGAACAAAGATTACATAGTTTTGCATACCCCATCACACATCATAATCCTAACCATATTCACATCAACAACCGAGAGCTCCTCACTGGCACATTACAACATAGAGGTCATGATCTCAAAACAATAATGTGGCAAATTATCTCTAGAAACATCGTGAATGAAGACATTCCAGACTTCATAGGTTAATTCAAGTCCATATGCTCCTAAAAATCTCAATAGAATACCAACAGGAGATAAAATGTTAAAATAAATTAGACAGGGCTAGAGCATGTTTACCTGGTAACATAATGTTGGAGCAACCATGAAGTATGCCAAACTCTTAAAGCTCACATCATAGCTGAAATCCGTATTCAAATAGTTGGGCAAGACTTCCCCCTATCATTAGAAAAGGAGCTTAAAAGAACTGGCTTATGCTTTCTAAAAATGTTAGACTCAAGAACTTGGCGCAAAACTCATTTATTTTGCACCTTCAAGTTTTCAGGAGTCCTCTAATTAGGAACCAAAAATCAGTAGGTAAATTTCTACACTATTGACAAAATGGCCCAAAAAGTTAAAAGTTATCTGGAGAATAATTACATACAAAATGTCCATCCAAAAATTTTAAATTAACTTCTGAAAGCACAAAACAGACGCAAGATGTGCAGAAGTGAAAGAAAGAAAGCATAAAATAATATATGATATGCCAAGAAAGAATTTCTTAAGCTTCACCACCAAATTTCCCACCACATAGGGTCTGACATTATCCATGGAAATATTGACAAAATGACTCGACAAAAGTTGATAATCAACCAACAGAAAAGAGTGTGTTCTTCATACCTTCTCGAGTGACTTTGCAACTGCTCTCATGTCATAATTGGTATGCGCATAGGATATCAATTTTAACCACACAACGCAGGCACACAACATCAAGTTCACGCCCGAGAGAACAACAGAATCACACCTGAGCATTTCAAACCTCTGATTAATAGTTCACGACTAAAATTGCGACAAACAAATGCCCAGTTTGACATAATATTCCCATCTCCCATGTTAACAAGTAATGCCACAAAGTATATATTGCAGTAAAGAGAAACATCTGAGTCATTTTCCATATTTTATGCTTCTTGTGTTTCCACCTCCATGATGAAGATGACAGACGAGAGTAGAGCAAAAAGTTGCAACCAAGGCTATTCAACCTAATATTGATTTCAAGACTAATAAAAAAAAAGGAAAAGAAATCACATTTTAGTTGTCAAAACCTGACATACATTTTTCATAATTAATCAGAGATCAACTTGTGTGCAAATCTTGACACATTCAGTAATTTATTTTAGAACTTAGAAAAAAAAATTTATGTCACTGCTCTTAAACATATCTCACAACTATCCAAAACAGTAATGCAAAATGTATAAAAGCAGTTCTACATCATTTTTCTTTGAACTGGCATGGTGGACCTGATGGAAATAAAGAACCATACACAGTCACAATGCTATAAGTTGATAACAAACCTTAGAATGACAACAACAGGATACAGAATCGCAGTTGTACTTATTATGATATGTAGAATGACAACCACCTGCAAAATTTAGCCCATTTCTTTCAATGTCAGGATGAAAAAGAAAAAAAAGGAGAAAGCAAAAATAACAAACAACTACATTCATACAAAATCCAGATACATACCATTTACAAATACCTAGTGATGATCCAACATAAAATAGAAATTGAAACTTACCGGTTCAGAAATGTACTTTTTCTGCACCAATTTTTCAACAAAAAATGACGCAAGCGCAGGAGAACAAGAAGACTGAGACTGCAAGATACCAGAAAAGGAAATAAGTATTTAGGCTCACATATGTAACCCAAAAAAACCAACCTTAACTCTTTGCCGTTCTAGTGTTTGGAATTGGCAAGGAGGAGACTAACAAAAGCAAAAAAAGAGAGTCGGGGGGTAAAGTTACCAGCACATGAGAAGAGGCCAATCCCCCAGTGATCTCGAACTAAACCAAAAACCTGACTTAATTAACCACCCATACTGTAAAGATATTAAGAACGCAGTCAATATGGTATGAATATAACCCAAAACTCTCAAATAGATGGCAGGCCAGAATATACAAGCTAGTGCTAAATTAGTACTGCTTAATAAACATCTGTTGTTGCTACACGGTAGAATGCAATAAAGTCTGCACTGAGGACTGCTAATGTGCTTCATATGTGTCAGAAAAAATGTAACGTTAATTAACAAGCATAACTGCCAGAAGTAGTCACACACCTTCATCAAATTTTCAATAATAAGCCGGCCGTTTACCGCAACAAGTACCACAATACAGAGATTGAAAAGACCCGCATGGCTCTGAAACAAAAATTGCAATGAGTGCCCTGCACTACAACATTCTACTGAAAACTTTACGGAAAAGAAAAGGTTTCAGAAAAAAATCAAATAGTTTAAAAAAAAAGATTAACCGCTGCATAGAATTCAAATACTCAAATTTCAAGCCATAAGCGCCAAATCAATAGAACCTGTGAATTCTGTACACAGAGCTCAACTCTAGTATACTTTACGTATCACATAACAAAGCAGTAAATCTAGCTACTTTAGATTAATTACACGTGTAATGTAATCTACGTTGCGTAATTAGTGAGGCAGCTGAAAACCTGTTTGAAAATGGCGTCAGAGCTAAGAGGGCTCTCCTTGATTCTCCGGTGAGCCGGCGCAGAAGGTCTGTAAGCAAACTTCCACGACGACGATGACGACGACTCAACTCCACCACCACTACCACCACCACCTCCCCTGCCTTCGCCACTCCCAACCTTGTCCTTATCATCCTTTGCGTTGCTCAATTCCCTCACCAATTCCACCCCACCACTACTCCCATACACCAGTTTACTTCGACTCCTTTCCTCATTATCATCCGTCGAGTTCCCTTTGGAACTCGAGTCCAAGTCCGAATCCGACTCAGGAGTCTTCACTACGTCCTTCGCCGCGGCGGCGGCGACAGCCTCCACCACCACCGAACTCGCTGTCCTCCTCCTAAGAGAACCGCTCCGATCGTAATTCGAGTTCTCCTCCTTATTCTCCGCGCTGGAGATCGTCGTAGTCGTAGTCGCCGTCGCTGCAACCACAATCTCCGGCGACTCCATGATCGCCATTTCCAAAATTTCTAGCTGTATACGGAGAAAATTTATGTATGCGGATGTTGTTGTAGATGAGGAAACTCTCTTTCCGTGACTCCGTAGAAAGATATAGAGAGAGAAGGATTGGGGGAAAAGTCTAGAAACGACAAAGTGTGATTGGTAAAGGAGAAGAAAATTGAAGCGGTGTTTATATTTATGTGGAATTGTTTTTGTGTAAATGAGCAACAGTATTCAATTGGAATATCTCTATTGCATGCAGCAATTTTATATACTACTGAAGATTGTTGGTAGAGAGAGAGAGAGAGAGCGAGAGCGTGTGCGTGTTTTGGTGAAAGGGAATTCCCGTGGGAGGAGAAAATGGTGACGAGAGAAAGTGGGGACGAACGCCGACGGGAGAAGGAGCCGCCGCTTGGAAGTTTCTGACGGGCGGGTGCGTTTGATGTGTCTGCGTGTTTTATTTTCTTTCCATTTTTCATTTTAATTAGTGGATGCTAAATAGTGAGTTTATATTATGCTGGAGTATAAACTATAAAGAAGGACGGTACAAGAGGTGCGGCGTGGCCTACCCCAGAGGAAACAGGTCAGGATGACAGGGTCAGTGACTGACGGAGACCGCGTCGCTCTGGAATTGGACCACCGCACAGGTCGCTTACATATATTCTGTTACGTTAGTTCAGGTTACGATGCAGAAAGGATTGGGGCCTAGACCCTGTGGTACTGGTACCCAATTCCATCAAAACCCTTCTTGCATGGCCGTAAATGAATCGAGATGCTTGCGAATGAATTCGAGTCGAGTTCGAGTGGTCCAGTTAAGCTCGAATTCGAGTTGATCGAGTGAAATTCGAATTTAAAATATTAAACTCGTTAATTCGCGAGACAGATCACAAGTTCGAAATATATATATATATTATTTTTATAATAAAATTATATACAGTATATATTGTTAATATTTTATTATTTATTAAAAAAATATTATTTTATTTATTTTTTAAAAAATAAAATAATTAGAACTTGACCTTTAAAATTGTCAGTTCGTCGAGATCGAGATCGAGTTCGATAAAATTAAGTTAAAATTCAGCTAGATTAGATCAAATCCCAACTCGACTCGGTTCGTTTGGTAACCCTATCCTGCATAGAAGTAACACTAGTATAAAGTTTTTAAAAATCAGATAAAATAATTATAGTCCCACAAACATCTATGCATAGATATTATTGCGAGATTTGTGGAATAGACTTAAAAATTTCTAAATCTGATTAATTAAAACCTGAAAAAATTCGAGTCTAATAAAAGAAAAACTAGACACCAGTACATTATTATTGTTTAAGTGGAAAAACATGATCCAGCCTAGATGAACAAAGATGCTCATCATTTAGGCAAAATTATTATCTAACTGCGTGGACGCATGGTTCCTTTCTTATTGTATTTTCTTTCATTTTTGCCAGCATTGTCTGTCTGTCTTAGAACTTCTCATGCATGAATATTCAACAAGCTCTGAAGAATATCCCTCTGGGTTGTTTAAATGAAACACGATGTTTAGTGTTTACCCTGTCTGGCCGTTGGTGACTTAGAAAACCAGTAGAAGCTGTGGAGTATGGTTTCAAGAAGTGATGAAATCTTATTGTCTGTCTTAGAACTTCTCATGCATGAATATTCAACAAGCTCTGAAGAATATCCCTCTGGGTTGTTTAAATGAAACACGATGATGTTTACCCTGTCTGGCCGGTGGTGACTTAGAAAACCAGTAAAAGCTGTGGAGTATGGTTTCAAGAAGTGATGAAATCTTAAAGATTAAGCAATCTTTGCAAGACGTGACCCACCTTTGGTCATACCACTCGATCTAAAAAAACGATAAGTTGAACAGAATACTTGAATAGAATACTGCTAGTAGGGTAATTTTATCTTTCTTGATCAATTTCTTTATGGCAGGCACGTTACCCAGCTGGTACTCTACCCGTCCTGCAATACGTGCTGAGTTCCCGAGTTCCGCACTTTCTCCGCAGTCTGAAGGTTTCAAATTTGGGTTTCTTTCTTCCTCCTATTCTCGACGCAGAATTAGTCAAACAATCTGCGCTAAGGGTTTTCCAGCAAACAATCCTAAATAATCATCCATTATATCCAACCTCACGTCAGTGCTCTCGGACCAATTGTATGTTGTATCTGAATTTGAATTCATTCATCAGCAACACAAACTGAAATTTAATTCGATGTCGACCCATCTGCTAAAGTTTTGAGTAAAAGCATATTATTATTAAGTAATAGCCGAAATCAAAGTCCAGAAGTTAAAAAAAAGGGGCGGAGTGCTTTGGACCTAAGCTGATGCAGCGACTAAGATGAGCAGCAGTTGTTTGCAAATGAAGTTGCTCTAACTTGCACTAGCTGACTATATAAAACCCAAAGAAAATTGTCAGAACAATTAGAAAACTTTTGCAGCTCCTCAACTAAACGAGTTTTTTCAGAGAAGATCCGCAACGTTTGATGGCAGCTCCTCAATTACTACGTTGTAAAACCTTTGAATGTCAGAGAGCATTCTTTCATCGTCTCTCATCACGAAGTTGATGGCAACACCTTTCCTCCCAAACCGTCCACTGCGTCCAATGCGGTGCAGGTAGTTCTCAGGCTGCGTCGGAAGATCATAGTTTATGACAAGGGAAACTTGTTGGACATCGATGCCTCGAGCCAAAAGATCCGTGGTAATAAGAACACGAGATGAACCAGAACGGAACTCGCGCATTATTATGTCTCTAGTGTTCTGATCCATGTCACCGTGAGTGGCAGAGACCGTATGATCCCGGCTACGCATCTTGTCAGTCAACCAGTCGACCTTTCTTCGAGTGTTCACGAAGATTACACTCTGAGTGATGGCTAAGGTCTCGTACAGATCGCAAAGCGTCTCGAGCTTCCATTCTTCCTTTTCAACGTTCACAAAGAACTGCTTTATGCCCTCCAGTGTGAGCTCATCACGTTTGACAAGGATCCTAACAGGTTTATTCATGAATTTCCTCGTTATCTCGAGCGCTTCAGGAGGCATTGTTGCGGAGAAAACTCCAACTTGGACTTTTGAAGGCAGAAGTTGGAAAATGTTATAGATCTAGCATCAAGAGTGAAAACAAAATGTTCAACAAGACTTGACCGTAGCGGTTCTTGATCTCTGTCTACTGCACTTCAATATGAATATGGACAGTAGTGTCTAACTATAGATGAAAAAAATGGGTTCTACTAACTCCTAGACATATATCACTTGCAGCCAGTATATCTACACTTGTGAGGACATACAGTTACAGAAAGAGGAGAATACCTGATCCTTGAAACCTCGAGAAAGCATTTCATCGGCCTCATCCAACACAAACATTTTAAGATGGTCAGGTCTAAGGGACCGTCTTTGCAGCATGTCAAATACACGCCCAGGAGTTCCAACAACGACATGAACTCCAGAGGCCAAAATGCGTTGGTCCTCACGGACGCTGGTTCCTCCTACGCAAGCATGCACCTTTACCCCAAGGTAGTCTCCGAGCGCTCGCATAACCTTCTCAATTTGCTGTGCAAGCTCACGAGTAGGTGCCAAAACCAAAGCCTGGCTTTGAACTAGTCCATAGTCTAGCTGTTGAAGGACACCAGAGCAGAAAGTAGCAGTTTTCCCAGTTCCAGATTGAGCCTGTTGAATAACGTCAAGACCTTTGCAGAAAGGAACAATTCCCTTTGTTGAATAGCAGAGGGTTTTTCAAATCCTACATAGACAACCAACTTCAGTGCCCGCTCAATTCTGGTAAGGCAAGCAACTAAACAAAGAGGAAAAGGAAAAGTAAAATAGAACTTTCCATGCTTATGTGAAAAAAGTTACACTTCTTCAAGACACATTTCAAGGAGGAGACCAGAAAGACCTCTATGATTCAATATTTTACCTCAACCATATAATTGAAACGAAATTATGGCACTAAAAGAGTTGAGAATCAAATGTAAATGGGCTGCAAGATAATAAACCAAGCAATGCAACTAACATAAAGCACCAATCTTGAGTTCAAAGCTGAGAAGAGATATACCATATGCATAGATGCCCTCAAGAGGTTCTCCTGCAAACCCATACCATCAAAGCTGTCCCAGACCTCATCATATGATGTAAAGAAATCTTGTCCATCAGCCGAAAGCCTGTGAACACAAAGAAACAAAAGAAATTTTACTTGCATCTAGTTGAACGTGCCTACCCTGTCATCGTGTTGGAAACTCTGGATATCAGAATTTGAAGAAAATACAAAATCTTATCTTTCTCAGGAATTAGGTAAGTAATTCATTATGTGACAGAATGATTGAAAAAAATTAAGTTGTTCATACAAATCACTCATTTTGGTATCATATCGGCGAGCATCAAACTGTGATCCATCTGTTGCCACACCTGCCATGACTGCCAATTTTTCAAAAGTTAGGCACCTACATCAACATCTCCATAGTTTTCAAGAAAACACAAATTCAAAACAAAATATATTAAACCAGTAAACCAAAGCAAATTACGGACATGATATTTCGTTTCAGTTCATATTACCTTCCCTGAATTCTAGTTCAAAATTCAGCTACGATTTCCGTCAACCTCAAAAGTAATTTGTTTATGATCTTTGAGACTTTTAACAAGCTACCTTTTGATCATTACAGAACATTATCCAGTACTGGAAAATAAACATGAAACTGACAGCATCTCATCTACTACTTGTATCTTTATACATTTTGCAATTTAGTCATTCAAGTTCAATCTGATCCGATGATCCTTGAACGAAATAAACGGATCACCATCTTAGTCAAATCCCAGAACCTATTTCATATCTTTCTTTTACAATGCAGCTTAATTATTTGCACAACACCCACTGCAGCTCGCACAGAGCAGATATCCATCCATGTTAAATCCAAACAGAAAAGAAAATAAAAACTCTTGCATGCAACAAATGAAACAATGTTTATGTAATTATTTTAGAAGATCATTGTAGTAACATATACAGCACAAACACTGAAATGTACAAGGAATCACACAAGAAGCACTGCAAAGAGAAATAGAATATCACCCAAAATAGAGAAATCGATTGATAAATAGTGTCAGAAATTCGTCGGAGTTGAGAAAAATGTTGGATAGTTGCAAAGTATGTTCCTTTTTTTTTTTTGGTGCCTTTGTGTGTGTATGTGTGCGTGTGAGAGTGTGTCCACACTCCTCGGATCTTATAGCATGGAGTTTTCAGAGCGGGAGAGGGAGAGGGGAGAGTATCGAGTGATAATGATGATTAGAAAAGGAAAGCGTCAGCATTTTTTGTTTAGTTTGTGGAAGTTGTCCATGGGACTTCCCATTACATAAATTGCACGTGGCTACTAACTATGATGAGTTTCAGTTTAGAAGAAAATTTTCTAACATCCACGGTTCTCTCTGAGTTTAAACTGATCCCTGAAATAGTTTCCATGTGCCAAAAAATATTTGAGGTCTCCAATCAAAATCAAAGCCCATTAGTCCCATATTTTCGGATGCATGGACACTGGATGATAGGCTAGTAACAATGAAGACGGTTCTGGCAAGAATCTCCCTAAAATAGAGAGGGATTATGTAGGAAAATTTACAAGGCAAGTTTTCAACTGAAAAATGGCACTGCGACTGCTCAACAAACCACCAGTTGCAAAGAGAGGATTTCACTGCCGGTCGTATTTAGGGGCCAGCATTCATTTGTATGGTGTTTGAAGCAGTTACCTTTAGTTTGAAAGACTCGCAGGTAGGGCAAATCCCTTCAGAAACTTTTGTAAAACTTAGATAGTTTTCCAAGGACGTATATACGTTTTGATATCTCAGGGGAACGGTCAGCGTCCTGTTACCGTATCTTCTTTCCTCAACTTCATGAATATTTTTGCCCCTGCTGGGCGTTGTGCAATTATCTTGCTTTGAGAAAGCCAGTTGAAGCCTCTCTCTTACAGCATGCAGTATAGCCCCGTCCACCACGATGGGCATTAGAATCTATTCAAACTTTAAACAAGTAATGAGCAAGCCTTCATTGGTTCATGCAGTCAACATACCTGAAAAGGGTCCGAGCCTCACCTCTTGGCATGTTTTGGTAATAGCAAGGCATATTAGAAACCATCCAACAAGACTACCGCACCTGACTCGTCCAACTTACAGCGGCCTTTGTGACCAGTCCATATTCCTCGCAATTCATGCGGATTAATGGTATCCATAGGTACAATTCGGTGACTTCTTGCAGTCTAATGAACGAGTAGTTTGCAAGTTTTTCATGGATAGACAAAAACTATTCCGTTAAAGGAAAAAGATGAGAAATCCGATGTAGTAGTGTGCTAGTTTGGTTTTTCTTTTTCACCATCCAGTTTTCTGTTATTCCCAAATTTCTTTCTGAGTAATCAAATTATTTACTGTAACATCTAAAGAGGTGCTATTACGGCAGAGTAAGAATCAAGAAGTAATGAAGGAAATGCTAGAAGCCCAAAATTTTCTCAACGTCATTCCCCATTTGGCTTCCAATATTTTCTGATAGTCACAAGTTCCACATCCACGGAAGCGAGCATTTCATCATTTGTTCCTCAGATCCTTGTCCTCTCAGACAGCAAGGATGTGATAGAAATAAGACTTTTCACAACATATTGGGAAGTCATCAGTGCACGCTACTTAGCTTTGACTAATGCCGTCTAAAGCCCTCTGCACCGGAATGTACACAAGTGGCTCCCAAACTGCGAGATGATATCCACTAATGCTCCATAACCAGCCACAGCGACAACCTGACAACAATTAAAAAGAGGAAGTATAGGTAAAGAATTAACTACCATGCAGCGCTCAATCTTCGAAGTACAAAATAGTCGTAGCATGTGGTTAGTGATTATCATAATTTACTTCCAACACAAATCATGAATTCAAGTGATCCCCATTAGCAGAATGGAATACAAGAATGTTCACAAGGTAGTTTTGCAGTCTGAAACATAACTCACCCCAGAAGAATGTAAAGAGACAGAAAATGAAGACTGTGGAGCACATTGTATCTTGGAAATAGTATCTCCATTCATGTCAAACCGGCTGACCACTGGTTCTGTTCCAACTGCTAATATCTGAAATACAAAGGTTAAAGAGTATCATATGAAACTAATTGATGAAGAATTCATACTAGGAAATGAAGAAGGCTTGCATGGCTGAAATGCTGACAAAAGAGGATCACATCTAATATGAAAAGAAATGATATAACAATATCTTCATCGACGTCCAACTCAACATCCCGCACTAACTGCTGCAATTCATAATAATGATGTAAAATTATTAAAGAAGAAGAGCAGGATTAAACTGAAACTGCAGTTGAAGGAGATACATGTGACTGAAGAGTTGCGCCAACAGACAATCATCAAGAATTATGGATACACTCTAGGAGGAAATTCCGTCCCCAACAAAAAGACAGAGAGTCAAAAATAAACGCGTAAAAGAAGAACCAAAAAATGTTATGGTAGATGATGTCAAAGGTCTGAATAAAGTATTAGGTATACTTAACCTATTAGACAAGTTTTAGAAGTCCACCACTAATCAAACATTTTGAGTCAACATATAGAAATTTAAGAAAGATGTTATACAAAGAAATATATGAAAAGATGAGAAACTACAAGTTATTGAGGCTTATAAATTCAGAGACAAGCCCAAGCACCTGCACTTTATTGATCGCAGAATGTCAAGATGTGAAATACATGTTAATTCAAAAGAACCACATTGTTAAGGAAGATGATCAAAGACATTCAATTGTAAAATTAGCCTCTGACAACAGAAAATTCTGATGTTACAAAAGCAGTTCAGTGGAGAAGAGCTTATGGAATAAATTTAGAGCACGAAAGACTCACTTGGTTATTGTCAAATGAAACATCCTGTACAGAAGCATTTGTGCTCATCCTTGACACACACTCGCAAGCAAGAAGATTCCAAAGAGATAATGACCTACCACTCCCACAAGCCTACAGGGGGTAAATGCACATCCAAGTGAGTAGCGGCAACTTTTCCGTTACAAACAAAAAAAACTATCCAATTTTGTTCAATTAATTTTGTCAAGAAAAAGAAGACTACAACAGAAGGCCATACCCAAGACATTGCATACAGGTATGCAGAAAAGAGAGATGCCATGTAAAGGTACTCAGAATGGGGAAAAACTTAAAATCAGGTGTTACATGAGTTCTTACCAACCAGCTCTCACTATCATCGAGAGCAATGCAACTGATATCTGGAGAGGCGTCTTTCAAAGACTTATCCTTCCCTGGATTAATTCTTTCTACACACTTCCCACTTTTTGCAGTCTGCTTTCACACCAATAGAAAAAGAGAAGAGGAAGGGGGAAAAAGTGCACAGATAAGTGAGAATAAGCACACAGGACATGAAAGATGAATAAGCACACAAATGACTTTAAGAATCATATTTACCCCATATTCGTATTGCCCCTCTGAGCCAGTGATTATCTGAAAACACACTAGAAAGAAAGCAGAAAAAGAAACAGATTTAAGCAAAGTGGGAAATGAAACATAGAGATATCACTTAAGAATACAGCTACAGCATCAATACTGGAACATGAAGTTTTAGGCTAATTTCTTAAACAGTGTAAATAAATCATGAATATCAGCATATAAACCTAAGAAAATCCACCACTACTGATACATGTTGAAATACTTCCAAGAGGAAATCACTTTCTCACTTGATTGGACATGAGTAGCAGTAAAGTCAGAAGCCTAAAGCAACTGAGTTCACAACCGAGAAAAGAACACTATGCAAAGACGAGAACAGTAGAAAATAACAGTGGAATAAAAAATTACAAAATAAAGAACCAATTCTTTCAAATAACACCAATAAGATGCCGAAGGAAACGATAGGTTATACAAAAGGCAATACCAGGCATCAACCTCTTACACAGTCCAAAGAATAAATGACAAAAAATAAGTACATAAACTAAGAATGAGAACCAAAAATTATTTAGACCTGACTGTGAGAGCTTTGGGCAACAATGCAATGCAGATAGCCGGAGTGACCCCTGAAAACTGTTTTGATTTTAGACTTCTCCTGGTACAATATACCTCTTTTCAGTAAAATTGAATCATTTGCTAAAAGCGAAGATAGAAAAGCAACAAAGATAATCAAAGTTCAGAAACAAAGGGTGTCAATTAACAAACAAATACATGAAAAAGGAAAAAGGTCTACATGAATAGTCATCTACAGAAAATACATACCAAATCCCAGCAATATGCACAAGAGTCACCAGCAGCGGCAAAAATAGATCCATTCTATACAACAAATGAAAAACCATGTGAATCAACAGACTGAATAAGAGTACACAAACTCTTACAGATCACACAAGCTTAGCTGCAAAAAATCAAACTTTACAATGAAACTGGACACATAAAAGTATCAAATCAAAATCTGCTAACAAAACTGAACTTCCTAGTCGGTTGTTAAAAGGCAGAGATTCAAAAATATAGTCACAGTCAAAAAGAAAAAGAAGGGAAGGAACACTAGGAAAAGAGAAAAATCATTCAACCCTACGTAATTGTCATCTACAGTGTCCCTTCTAACTCTAACAGCCTGTGTTCCTCAAATCATTTGCATAGGTATAGATCCTTTAACCAAAAAATGATGACTTCAGCATGACTTACTGCATTTGATGACTTCATTACAGCATTATCAGAACCATAAAGATATTTCATCGCAAGATGGATCATCCATAAGGCATTGCAAGTCACATCACTAATTTTACCAACCTGCAACAATGGAGCTATTTTCTTCTGTTGTCATTTTTATTGTACTCTATTGTTTTTTGTCTTCCTTTTTATATATCAGGGAGCTGCTCTCCAGGAAAATTGTTGTACAAGCAGTTTGACAAAATAAGGAAAAAAATTACAAACCTGAGTGTCAACAGCAACAGCATTGTTCTCTGGGATTGGAGAAAGTGCGCTCCACGGACCTCTGCAAAGCAAATAATATGTAAGATGGAACTAAAATAAGAAAAAAAAATAAACTTAGCATACTGGGCATAATGCTAAAACCAAGATGACAATGTTTAATAGAAATTTAAATAAAAAAATGTACACACCACAAGAATGGCAGAAACAGAGAACTAGAAGTGCTATCATGGGTGAGGGCATATTCATCCAAACCATGTAGTTTATGCTAATTTGGACCACCTACATAATGCAACAACAAAACATAAAGCAACATGCTCTAGCATGGGTAAGGGCATATGCACCGAAACCGTGTATCAAAAGCTAATTAAAAGCACATTATCTCATCCAAATTTGAAAACATGTTTTTAAAGTCAAAAGCTGTCAACCCAATCTACACTATGAAAAAATAGAATCAGTGGTTCCAAAATGTATCAAATGAAGTCAGGGACCAAATTTTCAATCCCACAAATTTGTGGAATATCAAAAAACTGTGGACATCCTTGACATGAATGTGTAAAGCAACAAGGATTTCCCCAGTGCAGTGCTATACTAGGTTTGAAAGTGACTAACTTGTGCTGAGGATTAACGAAGTCAATAACTGGCTGCATATTTCCCCCTGCAAAAGTTGACCAGATGAGATATCAAGTACATGAAACCAAGAATAATATAGGAGGAGACAAGATTTAAGATCAGCAAATACTTGCTATTACGAGTTATGGACCTACTTCAATACCATTCCTATCTGGAAACTTAAAATGTTGACTGTAAAAGTTTTAATCAAGCCAGCCAAAACAATACAACATCCTCCAAGCGAATATCTCAGCAACCAAGGTTAGTCAGAAATAAACAGATTGCAGACAGAGAGGCATTCAGGCAGACTTGTACCGTGAAATTTTGGTAAGTAGAATGCTGGATTCACAGACAAAGTTTATACAGGTTTTTTGTTTTCTACTTGTTACCACTAGCATTTAAAGATTGAAAGTTCTAGTAATCCTACATTTGAAACTCTGTTATGAAGAGGCATTACCTAAACTAAAATCTTTCTTTCACAGTTCAAAACTAGGACAATCCAATAACTGAAGTTCCCAGAACTGTGAAACATGTTGAACTCATTTTGCAATTTTAGTCGACTACAGTGTACCATCTTCTGTAGACAATTCATTTAACCAAAGCCTTGTACATCAGACGTCAAAGATGGAAACTTGAAATAAATACTCAACCTCGTTTACTAGCCTAAATTAAAATGATTTCCATGAGGTATAAAATAATATATTCCATCATTTTGAGACTAAAGCATGCAAAGAAACAATGGCTTTAAGAACAGACCACCTTGCCGGGCACATCAAAATCTGCTATTTCTTTCCATTTCCACCCTCGAATTCGACCATCATCCCCGCAACTGCACAACATTTCACCACGTAAAAATTGTTGCATGTCCTCATGACACAGTAGTAACAATCCCAGGAGTCAACTTCTATAAAAGACATCCATTTGTACACCACCACATGCACATAGCAAATTCTTTCAGTTTAAATATTATCATGCTTAATCACCAATGCTTTAAATAAAGCGCATAAGATAGTGAAATATGATGGATTAAAAAGATAGGCTATCTATGTACTTGACAGCATGTCATTATCAAAATTCGCATTCATCTCAAATAGAACCTCAGAAAGGTCCCAGTTTCATGTGCCATTTTAGTTGATTGCAAATGCAAGTCAAAAGTATTATCCCAGTGGGAAAATCTTAAGTTTCTTTTAACCAATTATATGCTGACAGAGATTCCCAGCTTGATAAACCAAACTTGTTAAAGTATATATGACAGACTCAGCCCAAAATCAGTTTCATAGAATATTTCTAATCACATTCCTCTGTCCTTGTCTCTCTAAAGTTAGACACTCTCTCTCTCACTCTCTCTGTGGTTCAGTTGCCATAACTTTAATTTATTATGAGGTTACCAAACTAGTAGTGGCTAAACTGACTCTGATTGAACGAAAAGAAATACTAAGAACAAGAAGAGACAGGCTTAGACAGTCCAAAATAAGTGAAAATGCAATTGTCAGCCCTTGACAATTGACAACTCAATTTCTAGTTACACCAGACAGACTCATCGTATTCCACAAAATTAAGTCATCTATTTTCATGTAATCCAACATGACATTTGAAAGCTCACAGACATGCTTACAAGCTGAATTGACAGACCAAGGAGGAGCTGAAATTCCATTCAATTACCTTAGTAATAAAGAATCCTCGCCATGGCCGTAAAATTTAACATCATAAGCAGGGCCTTCATGTCCTTGGATCAAAAAATTAGGTTCCGCTACCAACAAACTACACACAAAATAATCAAGACGCCCAGTTAACCCAGATCACTTAAAAACAAAGCAAACACTAACATATTACCGGTCTCCGGTGCTCACTTACTTGTGAGCAGCTCTAGCATTCCCAAAACCCAAACCCTAACACAACAAGAAGAATTAAAAAAAGAAAAATCAAAACCGCACTTATATTCATATGAGATGAAAATCAGGTGGATGCAACCGAATTAGGAAAAAAAATGTAGCAAGCGTGAAAGAGAGATGAGAGATTACGAGGCAAGAAGAGATGGAGTAAGAGGCGATGGAGCCGTCGCTGCAGGCCGTGACGATGACGTCAGGATTTAAGTTAGAATTACCAGGGTTTGGGGCGAAGGCGGTTCGGAAAACGGTCCGACAAAGAGTTTCCCGGTGCTGCAAAATGGAGTCTCTGTAGACGTCTTCATCCCAGTTTGTGCAGTCCATTATTGCTGCCGCCATTACTTTTTCTCTTAATTCTGAGTTTCTGGTTTGAGGTTTTAGATCATTCCCGTTATCACCAGCGGAGCAGGGAGGAGCAAAGGTTCGGTGGCGTAGTTGTCGTTAATTAATTTTGTGCCTTACGACATCGTTTCGCCATATTTTATTTTACTTCTATTTTTTTCCCTTGACTTTTACGTAGTCGGGAGATGTTAGGCATGCGTAAAAGTACCTTCTCCGCTATTTTTTGAGGTGCTTTTAAAAATTTTACTGTAACAGTAATAGTGTATATGAAAAATTTTTACTATATAAAATTTTTTGAAATATTTGATATATTAAATGAATAAGATATTTTTGAGTTATTGTGTATTACTGTAACATTGTATTTGAAAAACTTATTTTTTGAAAAAATGATCAATCCAAACGGAGTCATGACAGATTGTCAATGATAAATTTTTTTTTCTAGTCCAAAATTTATCTCCTTAAATTGTATTTGCAGTACGTTAAATTTGCAATATGTTAAACTTCTTCCAAATTGTGTTGAGAGTGAGAAAAATTTAAAAAAATAAATAAATTTCTTTCCTAAGAATTCGTTGAGTAATTCGGAAAAATGGAGAATAAATGTGTGAAATCTCAAATACGACCCATCTCACTTTAAAAAAAAAAAAAAACTTTCTTTATGCCAACTTTGTTCTTCATATATTCGTTATCGGTACATATATATTTGATGACAGATAAAGATACATTTTAGTTATCATTTCTTTTATTTCTTCCAAAACTCAAGCGACTGAAATAAAGAATTTGTCATGTACAAAGCTTTCTTTTTTCCGTTTTCGTTTCCCTATTCTTGTTCATGTGTAAAAGTCCCTTCTTAAACTCTTTTTTAATACGCAGTAGTAAATTACTTGAGCTTTTTTTTTTTCCAGCAACGATACATTGTATAACCTACTCTATCCTAATCTAGGAGGAGAGAAATCTAAAGAAACTTGTGTTAGGGGTTAGTGGGTATACAGATCCAACTACATCAAGAGAATACTATAGCACTACTCTTAAATTTTTTTTTACTGTAGGTGAAGTTTGTCCCTCATCTACGGTCCAAGGAGCGACTTAAATCCCAAGTCCTTCCGTGGCCACTGAGCTTACTAGGGGAAAAATTTTAAGTACTGAAAAAGAAGACTTGTCCACTCCGACGCATAATGGAAAAAAAGAGTAGAAAGTAGAAAGGCCAGGAGCCCTCAAGTAGAAAGTAGAAGTCAAACTTCTGCCAGAATAAATTACAACTGCTAAATGCTAATCATTCAATAAGCTAAATAGTCAATAAGCACCTCCATCTGAGCTAGCTCACTCGTCCATGAGATCTGAGATCTTTATTAGCCCCACAAAGCAAAAGGAGAAGTCTGTCTTCTCAGATCATCTGTAGCAATGGATGTTGTGAGCCCTCTGGTCAACCTTCTCACCACCATTGTTAATTACATTTTCCCAAGAGTAGATAATGTTGTGAATTTGGATCAAAGCATTCACTCCCTCGAGGTGCTCTGGTGGAGCTCACAGAAGCCAGGGATGACTTGAAGAAACAAGTTGATCGAGCAGAGCTTTTGGGATTAACATGCACTAACCAAGTCAAAGGTTGGCTGGAAAGAGTAGAAAGTGTGGAAACAGAAGTAAGATCCATCACACAAGATGTTGAAAATGGAAGGAGTAATGGTTGCTGTGGAAAGAACTACTGTTCAAGATATAAATTGAGCGGGAAGGTTTTGCAGATTCTTTCAGCAATCAATGACTTGAAGGGAAAAGCGATTTTGGATGTCAACCTTGCTGATGGACTGCTTCTTGTTCCTGTGGTGGAAATACCTACTAGGCCAGCTATAGGGATAGAATTGATGCTGAAAAGTGTGCAAGAATTGCTCAAGGAGGTGAATACTGGGATTATTGGAATATATGGAATTGGTGGGATAGGGAAGACTACCCTTCTGAAGAGCATAAATAATGGCTTTTTGACATTAGAGCATGACTTTGATGTGGTAATCTGGGCTGTGGTGTCTAAAGAACTTGTTGTTGAGAAAATTCAGCAAGCCATTGGGGTGAGGTTAGGCTTGTCTTGGGTGAAAACCAGTTCCAGGAATTGCGAGCTTCAAGGATATACAGTGTCATGAGGAGGAGGAAATTTCTACTGCTCTTAGATGATGTTTGGGAAGGGCTTGATTTTGAGAAGATTGGAGTTCCTCTTCCCAGCAGGGAAAACGGATGCAAAGTCATATTCACCACTCGCTCAATGGATGTTTGCAGCGACATGGATGCCAATTGCAAGCTGAAGGTGGAGTTCTTGAATGAGCGGCAATCATGGCAGCTTTTTCATGAAAAGGTTGGGAGACAGATGATGGATTCAACAGTCATTTCAGCTTATGCGGATACCATTGTCAGAAAATGTGGAGGCCTTCACTAGCTCTAGTCACCATTGGAAGGGCTATGGCAAACAAACAAACAGAAGAGGAGTGGAAGTATGCCATAGAAGTGCTGAACAAGTCTCCTTCAGAACTCCGTGGTATGGAAGATGTTTTTACACTGCTTAAATTCAGCTATGACAATCTAGAGAATGATATACTAAGATTATGCTTCTTGTATTGTTCATTATTTCCTGAAGACTATCCAATAGAGAAAGAACAGATTATAGAATACTGGGCAGGGGAGGGGTTTCTAGGTAGCGCTGGTGATGATGTCCATACAATAGGTCATGCTATCATTGGTTCTCTCAAAGTAGCTTGTTTCTTGAAAATGGTGAAGAGGAAACCCAAGTAAAGATGCATGATGTTGTCAGAAGTTTTGCTTTATGGGTTGCATCCGGTGGTGGAAAGAATGGTGCTAAAATCTTAATGCAGGCTAGCTCAGGACTGACAGAAGCACCTGGAGCTGAAAACTGGGAAGCAGCACAGAGAATTTCATTACTGATAATGAAATCACTGAAATATCTGGAACTCCTGTTTGTCCTCATTTGTCTACCTTGCTGCTACAATGGAACAGCGGTCTCAGCAAAATCTCAGAAAATCTTTTTCATATATGCCCAATCTCAAGGTTTTGGACTTATCACTTACCAGTCTCAGAGAGATACCAAAGAACATTGGTAAACTGGCTGAGTTGCGGCATCTTGATTTGTCAGGAACTAAAATAAGCACGCTGCTAGAGAATTGGGAGGTCTGGCAAAGCTGAGGCTTTTGGATCTGCAACGCAATCGGTATCTTAAGAGCATTCCACATACAGCGATAACTGGACTCTCTCGATTGAAAGTATTGAACTTCTATTACAGTTTTGGGGATTGGGAGTTGCAAGATCTTGATGATGATGATGATCAAGCTAGGCTCTCCGACTTGGAATCCTTGCAACATCTGACCTCCTTAGGGATCACATTGGCCAATTTATATGCCCTGGAAAGGCTATCTGGTAGCAGAACTTTGCGCAGATGTGTAAAATACTTGTATATAAGGGAGTGCGAAGGCTTTTATAACTTGCAACTATCACACAGTACAGGAGATGGTGAGAGACTACGAAGGCTCAGCATTAACAACTGTCCAGACTTTAAGTATTTGGCAATCATTGATGGGGCTCAGAATAACTGGCTGCCAAACCTTGAGGTTCTTGCCATGCATGGTCTTCCAAGCTTGATATCGGTATGGAGAAATCCAATGAGCAAAGGATGCCTCCGAAATCTTCGTTCTGTCAACATCTGGTACTGTGACAAATTGAAGAACGTTAGCTGGATTTTAAAGCTTCCAAAGCTTGAAATGATTTACTTATTTTACTGTAGGGAGATGGAAGAAATAATAAGTGGAGATCAAGTGGAAGATGAGGATTACCTGAATGCTTTTCCTCGCCTCAGAATCATGTCAATTAGAAAACTGCCTAAATTAAAGAGCATCTCTCAAGAGAATATGTCTTTTCCATCTTTGAAGAAAATTGCTGTGATAGATTGTCCAAAGCTGAATAAGCTACCACTCAAGGCCCATAATGTAGCAGAACTGCCAACTATCTACTGTTACAAGGAGTGGTGGGATGCTCTGGAGTGGGATGATGCAGACACCAAATCCACCTTCCTTCCCCACTTCACATCAGCATGATGGAGCACTTATTGCCTCAAAGTCTCGCACTTCAGAATCTCCTCTCTGTTAGTGGCTCTTGCTTATAATCGTCATTTCCCTCTGTGCTTGCCCGGTAGATTTGAAGATGCATAATACATCAAGAACAAATTACTCCATATGCAACGTCTCTCAAAGATAGGTTCAGAGTCATATTTTCAGTAAAAGTATAATATCCTGAGGTTAAATACCCTTCAATGCTTAAATATCTGCAAGTGCACTTGTTAGCATAAAAAAGAAATGCAGCAGGAAAATCGGAAACCAATTGTATCAACTCAGAGTAGATTGGAGACAAAAGAAAGTTTCACCCCGAACTCCATTTACTGTTTGCTGCTGTCTGGCAAATGGTGCTTCATTGAGTTGGCATTGTTGACAACCTGAAGTTCTTTTTCAAAGGGTTTCGTTGCAAACTCCCACCCAAGTTCCTGGAGCAGAATCAGCAAAGTCCTGATTTTCCCAAGAAAATGTCCATGCTTCCGTACATGCATTGTTAAATTCACGACTTGTATGTAACCAATATTACGTTAACCCCAGAAGGAAAAAACTAGTCATAATGTAGTTTAGAGTTTTCCTTGAAGCTAATAACTTGCATACGATCTTAATCAAGAGACGCAATCATTACACGACTTACAGGGCAGAGCAAGCAAATTAAGGGCACTTTAGGATTCATAAAAGAGCCCTTTGAAGAATTTCATCATTCACTATCATATTGTTGTTAATTCTGGGATGGGTATCAGTGGGCAAAAAGAGACAGTTAGTGACTAGATAGACTTTGCTCGATTCACGGAAGTGGAGTTCCTCGACTAATTATCATTTCGCGGGCTATGCTGCTTTTACAATTTTCGTGGAGTGTCAAGCTAGGACTGGAAATTCTCAATTTCAAGCCAGCATTTTCTGCAATACCAATGGGTCCGTTTGGATTCTTGTTTTTGGGCCTGTTTTTGAAAAACTGTTTTTCACAATCCAAATGCTACAGTAAATGTGTATTTCAAAAAT